CCCAGTGAGGAGGAGGAGCTTCAGCGCGCTGTCACAGCCCGCGCCTGCTTGGAGCAGCTGAAGGGGACCACGGAGCTCCTGCCCAAGCGGCCCCAGCACCTTCCTGGACACCCTGGGTGAGCCCTGGCCCCTCCCCTCCCAGGATGCCCTGTTCCGGGCCCAGCACGGGGGTGGCGTGCTGCTCTTGGTTCCTGCTGCCTCCCGTGCCTGCTCTCAGCTAGTTCCCTCTGCCCGGCTCACCAAGCACCTGCTGTGTGCCGCCCCGGCAGCCTTGGGGTGCAGATGGCATCACAGCTCCTCCTTCCCGGAGCTCCCTCACCCCGAGTTGCCAGGCACGCAGACCAGCCAGCGCAGCTGGTGTCTGTATCCAGGGTCAGAGCCTGGCTGCCTGGGGCAATCAGGGAAGGCTTCCTTGTGGAGGTGGCCCTTCACCGGAGCCTCACAGAGGGCACAGTTGGGAGAATAGGGGCAGCCAGGGTGACCAGCAAGTGAGAGAACTCTGATGGCCCGGGAGTGTCATGAGAACCGAGGCCGGGGGCGTGGGGGGAGAGGCGGGGGGCAGATCTGCTTGTTGCTATGGCCAGTGGCCCTCCAGGAAGGGAACTGCCCTGGGCATGCCTGGCCTGTCTGCAGCCTAGTCCAGTGGGACCTTTCAGTTATTCTGCGGGCTCCGCGGGGGTTGCGGGCCACGTCCCAGAGGGAGAGAGTGGCAGCGGAGGCCGAGGTCCCGGGCCTTGGAGGGTGGGTGGAGCCCGTCATGGGGAGAGAGCCTTCTTTGAGGTCACACCGTGACACTTCTCCTCCGGGACACAGGTGGTACCGGAAGCTCTGTCCCCGGCTAGATGACCCTGCGTGGACCCCGGGCCCCAGCCTCCTCAGCCTGCAGATGCGCGTCACACCCAAGCTCATGGCCCTGACCTGGGACGGCTTCCCCCTGCACTTCTCAGAGCGGCACGGCTGGGGGTACCTGGTACCCGGGCGGCGGGACAACCTGGCTAAGGTGCCATCGTCGGGGGTGGCCTGCCCCTACAGGTGAGGCTCCGGCTGGGGCCGGGGAGGGAGCCGAGCTCCCAGGACCCTTCCTGCTGGAGAAACGCCACCCGCTCAGGCTGGGAAAGGGCGAGGGCCTGAGGCTGGGTTCTAGCTCCCTTTTCACGGCCCCTCCCCCTCTACGCTCAGAGCCAGGTGCTCGGGAGTGGGGAGGACTAGGGGGAGTGGGGAGGACTAGGGGGAGTGGGAGGACTAGGGCCTGCTCTCGGACCAGGGCCCAGCTGCCTCCATAGGATCGTGCGGAGGGCGGGGGCTTTCTCTCTGAGTGTAACTCACCAAGCATGAGTCGCCATCTGGGCTATGACCCCTTGGGGGCGCTCTCCCCATGCGTTCCAAGCGGTGGCTGAGACAGGTTATCCCCATCAGAGTGGACGAAGCACAGGCGAGGGCAGCCTGTTGGTTGGAGGTCACAGGCCGAGGGCAGCCAGTTGATGGGAGGTCACAGGCCGAGGGCTTTGAGAGGCAGGGGCTGGGAGAAGCCTCAGACTGCAGTGGCCCAGAGTCCTGGCTCGGCAGGGCAGCCGGGGTCCCTCGTGGGTCTCAGAAAAGGGGCTGGGATCGCCCTGCTCCTGGTGCACTGGCAGGAGCCAGCCCGGGGCGGGCGGTGCACCTCCCTCGCCCTGCTCTGAGTTTTCCCTGGGGAGGCGCAGCCCTGCGGCCTGAGAGCAGCTTCGATAGTCCAGGCCTCGGACCCAGCCTGCCCCCAGGGTGCTGGGTCACTTCCGATGTGTTGCTCGCTGTCTAAAACCGAGGAGGGCTGCCCACTCCTGCTCAGGGCTGATTCTGAGGGCTAAACCAGGGGAATTGTGGGAGGCCCCGCCCCTGCCCGGCCCCGAGGGGGCACCCTAACCAGGGGCGCTGCTGCTGTTCTTGCCCAGAGCCATCGAGTCCCTGTACGGGAAGCACTGCGCCGAGCAGGGGAAGCGG